CTGCAGGGAGGACAGCGTGGCAGGCGGAGATGCTGAGGGTCCAGACGGGACAGAAGGTGCTGCCTTTATCTGGGAGGATCTCGGGAGGCACCTAAGCCCTGAGCATGGAGGGGAATTTCACCTGACTGCATTCTTGGGCCTCCCTTAAAAGAACACAGGTGGATAAAAGCCACAGGAGGTGTTAGGATGCTAATTCTCAAGGAGGATGTGGGGAAACACATGTCCTCAAGTGCCCGCCTTGGAGTGTACTCACACCCCAAATCTGGTTTATTTGGATGATTTGGGCTGAAGGCTGTGGGCAGTTTCTAGAGTGCTGGCCAAACACTGGCGTGACCATACATTCTGATGGAATGCCTTAGCCCAGTTAGAATGGAGGATGGAGTATTGTCAGCCATTACTGCTTCACAAAGAACCACCAAACCTCAGAGCCGTCCGTAATAAGCTTCTCTTTTCCACGTGTGTCCGGGTCAGCTGGGGGTCTGGGCCACAGCCTGCTTTCGGCAGGAAGGCTCGCTCAAGCTGTGCGTACAGCTCACCGGGTCCTCTGTGTGCGTGGGCTCAGGCCTGTGCCGTGTGTGCAGTTTGGGGCTCTGGCTGAAGAGGCGGGGACCAGTCAGGGTGCTCTGATGGCCAGGGCAGTGGTGCGCGTGGTTCAAGCACATCTGCTAATAAAGCCAAGGGCAGGAGGAAGGTGATGAGGGCTTGTTTGTGAGGAAGTCTAACCTGCCACGAACACAGCGAAACAGAGGGAAAGGAGCTGACAATCCTTGGACAGTTGGTCCAGAAAGGAGACGAGTCTAAGCACACCTGAAGATGATGGTGAGATGTTGGGAATGTTTATAGGTAACATGGGGACACTATAGAATGGTTATGTGTCACATGCCACCAATTCTTGTACATAATGGATTGTCGGGTGAGACAGGAGGTGAGGGAGTAACCCCAAAGCTACTGTAAGGATGGAGCTCTACAGTGGGGAGGTGACAGTTGGGATAGAAAGGAGCATGTGAAATATATTTCTGAGTCAGAAGGAGTCACTCTTGACACCTTGCGGGGTGTGACAGTAGGGAGGGGGAGCCCAAGGTGGTGATTCTGTTGAAGCTCTTAGGAAACATGGGTGGGTGATCAGAGCTGTGGGTGTGAAGATAGGGCTTGGCACCTGGGCCATGTGGGGGACAGTGGTGCTTGGACAGAAATCGGGAAGCCACGTAGGGCCAGACCCAGGGGGCCGAGAGTTGCTGACTAACGGTGACTGCTGCTGAGTAGGAGCTGTCCTGGGGGGAGAGATGCCGAGCTGTGAGGACAGGTGGCAGGGAGAGCAAGCGTGTCGGTGTGACAGAAGTCCGGGGCGCACTATGGAGAAGAGGTGGTGTAGGGGAGACTCTGTCTTATGATGCAACTGCTGCTGGATCCTGAGCCAGCTAGATGGGGCCAGAGCAGAGACTGCCTCCTGTCAGCCCCTCTGAGGGAGCCTCCGTGTGCCCCACGCATGTCAGCTCCTGGAACAGACCTTTGCCCTGTCTAGAGCAGGCGTGTCAGGTGCTTCCCCTCATCTGGGGTGGGTCACGCCCCAATAATCCTATCCATCCTGCCCTGTCCTGTATAATTTTTTAGCTCCTGCCACACAGGGCAGAGCATGTCCAGGCTGTCTTACCAGCTTTCAAGACACGCCTCTTATGTAAGTTCTCTTAATATGCTCGTTTTTTAAATTTATTAGGGTGACATTGGTTAGTAAAATTATATAGGTTTCAAGTGTGCATTTCTATAATATTATCTATATATCACATTGTGTGTTCACCACCCAAAGTCAGTTCTCCTTCCACCACCATATTATTTGACCCGTTTTCTTTTTCTACCGCCTCCCTCCCCCCTTACCCTCTCGTAACCACTAAACTGTTGTCTGTGTCTACGAGTTTCTGTTTCTTTGTTTGTCTTGTTCATTTATTGCTTTCAATTTTATATTCTCACATACGAGTAAAGTCATATGGTTCTTGACTTTTTCTATCTGTTTTGCTTAGCATAATAATCTCCAGGTCCATCCATGTTGTCGAAAATGGCAGTATTTCATCTTTTCTTATGACCGATTAATATTCCATTGTATATATGAAACACATCATGTTTATCTAATCATCTGTTGAAGCACACTTTGGTTGTTTTCATGTCTTCGCCACGGTGAATAAAGCTGCAATGAGCATTGGGGTACATATATCTTTACAGATGAATGTTTTCAGATATTTTGTATAGATACCCAGGAGAGGGATTGCTGGGTCATATGGTAATTCTATTCTTAGTTTTTTGAGGAAATTCCATACTCTTCCATAGTGGCTGCACCAATCTGCATTCCCACCAGTAGTGTATGAGAGTTCCTTTTTCTCCACAGCCTCTCCAGCACTTGTTATTAATTGTTTTCTTAATGATAGCCATTCTAAGCAGTGTGAGATGATAGCTCATTGTGGTTTTGATTTGCAGTTTTCTAGTAGCTAGTGAAGTTGAGCATATTTTCATATATCTGTTCGATATCTGTATGTCTTCCTGGGAGAAGTGTTTGTTCAGGTCCTCTGCCCATTTTTTTAGTTGGATTATTTGTTTTATTGTTGTTGAGTTGTACAGTTCTTTATATATTTTGGATATTAGCCCCTTATCGGAAGTGTTGGTTGCAAATATCTTTAAAAAAAATCATTTGGTTGGTTGCCTCTTTGTTTTGTTGATGGTTTGTTTCTTTTGCTATGCAGAAGCTTTTTAGTTTGATATAGTCCCATTCATTTATTTTAGCTTTTATTCCCCTTGCCTTTGTGGTTAAATTCATAAAATTCTCTCTGAACCCAAGGTCTGTAAGTTTAGTACCTATGAAGTCCTAGCCAGAACAATCAGGCAAGAGGAAAAAGCAAAAGGCATCCAAATTGGGAACGAATAAGTAAAACTGTCACTTTTTGCAGATGACATGATTCTTTATATAGAAAACCCTAAGGACTTCAACAAAAAACTATTAGAAACAATAAATGAATACAGTAAAGTTCTAGGATACAAAAATCAATGTGCAAAAATCCATTGCATTCCTATATACTAACAATGAAATTTCAGAAAAAGAAATGAAAAAAAACCCCAATTCCTTTTGCAATTGCAACAAAAGAATAAAATACCTATAAATACACTTAACAAAGGATATGAAGGACCTATACACTGAAAACTAGAAGATAGTATTAAAAGAAATTGAAGCAGACACAAAGAAATGGAAAGATATTGCGTATTCATGGATTGGAAGAATCAACATAGTTAAAATGGCCATATGACCCAAAGCAATATACAGATTTAATGCAATCCCCATCAAAATCCCAATGGCATTTTTTAAAGAAATAGAACAAAAAATCACCAGATTTGTGATTCACAAAATCACAAAAGGAATCACAAAAGGCCCTGAATAGCCAAAGCAATCCTGAGAAAAAGAACAAGGCTGGAGGTATCACACTCCCTGAGTCCAATTTGTACTACAGAGCAACAATAATTAAAATAGCATGCTATTGGAAGAAAAACAGACACACAGACTGGTGGAATAGAACTGAAAACCCAGAAATAAACCCACATACTCGTATATATGGGCAGATAATTTTTGACATAGGAGCCAAAACCACCCAATGGAGAAAAGAAAGGCTCTTCAGTAAATAGTGCTTGGAAAATTGGAAAGCCAAGTGCAAAACAATGAAACTAGACTGCCAAACTGAACTCAGAGTGGATCAAAGACCTGTGTATAAGACCTGAAACAATAAATTGCTTAGAAGAAGACGTGGGTACAAAACTTATGGCCCTAATACACTCCTGATGTAAGGCTGGCGTTGTCGCCTTTTCCTCCAGTCTCTCAGGCCCCTGGAAACCAGTGAGAATGGTACTTAGGCCCAGAGGGCATCCCCGTGACCTGGCAGAAAGGGGGAGGCAGATGGCAGCCAGTGCCTGCGAGTGGAGGACATCAGTCTCCATAGTTTGATAGTGAAGGCAGGGGGGTAGTGGGTGGGTGCGGGGGCAGGATTCATGGTTTTTAAAGTTCTTATTGTGTTTTGGCTGGGGGGAGGGGTGGGAGTTGGTCTTTGAACCTTCCTAAAATGAGAGAGCATGGCAGAAGGTAGATTGAAGACATTGAGATTTGGAAATTTGTTGAGAGAGTGAGGGCCCCATCTCCGTGGGAGGAGGGTGGCAGGCACGTGAGTAAAATTCTGAAACGGGGGTTTGATGGAAGGCATCTAGTTTTGTCCTCGCAAATAATTTCACTTCTAACTTTAATGCTACTCAGTGTGAAAGCCTCCTATTCATACGCATCACTGTATAGATGCAGAACGTTTTTGTAAATGTCAGTTTTTAACTGTGAAGCTGGTCGAAACAGGGCTCCTGCGATGGCGTTAGTAGGTTGTTCACCAGCCTCCCCATTGGGGGTGAGGGTGGGGGGACGACGTGTGTGCTAGTGACGTGGGAGGTGCATGTGGAGTCTGCCATAAACACACTTTAAATTCTAGAGAAAAATGCCTGTCTGTGATTGACAATAACCCCACCCCCACTCCCCTGTGCTTTTTAACACAGAAATGAATGCCAGTATTTAAAGTTGAGAATTATAAGGACACCTTACTTCAGAAGTAAATCCGTTTGGAAAGAATATTACTTTTCCCTGTGCTTGCATATGCGGTGCGGTGTGTTTTTTGTCCACCAGCGTTCATGTCCCTTTGACTATTACTTTCCTTTCCTGTTGCTGTGTCCTGTTTGCCTCACATTTCCGTTTCTGGCCCAGTGCCCTGTGCTCGTATGACAGGCAGGTGCGTGAGCCCTGTGGCCCTGCTGGCAGGGGGCGTGCCCAACCTGATCCTTCACATTTCGCTTTCCTGTATGTTCCGTGACTGCGCGCGAACACCGTTCATAGAGTTTAGAATTGTTTGCATGCTCTAGAACTAGAGGCAGTGCAGTTCCACTGGGAGTCTTAATGCTTACACGTTACTGTATGTTTTCCTCTGTGCCCATTGCAGAGCTGTGACCTGGATCAGCAAAGCATTGTCCACGTTGTGCTGAGACGGGGCCCAAGAGGCCAAGCAGTGAACACAGCTGGCGGGACTGGCCCACGGAATGCTGTGGGGGGCTCTGCTAGGGAGCCTGAGAGCTTGACTCGCGTGGACTTCAGCAGCTCCGTCCTCCCCACTGACTCGGTGGGTCTGGCTGTTATTTTGAATGACGACAGAGAGAATGGTGCCCCGGCCACTGGAAAGCCAGGTACTTACAATGACTGTCTATGGCTGGTAAGGCGCGCTGTGTCCTCAAGTCTGCATGGAGAAGGGCTTCACTAGGTGTATGCATACTTGGTTCACGATGCGCTCTAAACCACTAGGAGAAGACATCACTAGAAGGAGCTGCCTGGGTATAAAGTTTGAGGTGGTATGTTTAAGAAGTACAACAAATTTAATAAGTACAGGTTTTCATATTAAGAACAAAAATAAGGGTTGGCGAAAGCATAAAGACCATGATGATAGTGTTTTGTTTTTGAGGAGCTGGGGTCGGTGGGGACATGCGATGGTCTGTGTGACTAAGGTACATCTATATCCCTTTCAACTTTTGCTTTTCTTTTCTTCTGCCTCGTATTTTCTTAAAATGCATTTCATTGATTATGTTTCTGATGATGTAGAGAAAATTTAAAGAGCAGAGAAGAACTTTAGAGGTAATTTTAGTCATTTACAGGTCTCAGGGAAAACTGTTGGAGTGCCAATAATATAATTTGTGTGAAAGGTTCTTCCTTCTGACTATGCTCCACCCGTTTCAAAAATGCTTTTCTTTGGCAAGGAAGGAGATCCCTTTGTTATTTTGACAATATTAATATGTTTCCCTAAGTCTTCTCTTCTCCAGTCTAAATAGTCAAAGGATTATTTTTGACTGTGTGTCATGGGAAACACAAAGTAGTAACAATGACTCTACAAGGCAGAAGCTTATGTCTCACCCACGTACAAAAGCGAAGGCACAGGCGATCCTAGGCTGTATGGTTTCACAGTGTTAAGAGTCTGGAACCAGCAACATGGAGACCTAAGATAATATGAAATATCTCCTGACTAATTCACTAAATAAGTAAATCCTTGGATTGCGAGTAACTTGTTCTGCAAGTGTTCCGCAAGACGAGCAAACGTTTCTAATAAATTTTAACTTGATAAACAAGCAATGTCTTGCAATACAAATAGTACATGATGCCGAACGTCACATGATCACAACTGAGCCAATGGTTCTTCTCTCTCTCGCTGCGGGATTGTGGGTGATTGTCTCCCATGCTTGGAGGTTATGGAAGAGATCTTGTCTGCAGAGGAGGAGGAGGTGAAGGTGGAGGAATCCCTCACTTCAAATGAGATTAGGGAAATGTGGGAAACAGTGCAAAATTTTGTAGAAAAGCGCCACCTGAATAAGGCTGTAGCAGTGCGAGTCATGAATCTGTTTAACCACAATGCAATGTCACATTTCCACGAAATCCTCAGGAGGCTAAAGCAAGTGTCATTGCATAGGTTCCTTGTTAAAGTTGCACAAAAAGAAAATATGCCATTGAGCCAATAGGTAGCGGTGATTCCGTTAGTGACAGTGAGAGTCGTCCTACACAGGAGGAATGGGTGAGCCCAGGGTCTGAAACCAGAGCTCTGGTTTCTTCTGCATATACTTTATCTCATTAAGGACAGGATATTTGTCCAATTTACTGTAGTTTTCCCTCAAATCTCCTTGAAAAGCGGTGATAAATGTTTACTAAATTACTTAAAATTATAGTAAGCCTTTTATCAGAATTTCTCTGTATTTAACTTTTAGAACTAATGCTTTATTTAAAATTATTTAGAGAAAACGAGACTTTACCTTTTAAAATGTCTTCGTATTTTACTGCTTGAATGAATGTAATACCGTGAATGGGATAATTGGAATGACCCTGGGCAAACACCGTGCTTATCTGATCATTTTCCTTTAATAAAAATGATGGCTTAGAGTTCCTGGAGCAGTAATTCATGGACTCGAGTGTGTGGAAGGCCTGTCTGTGGGTCCCTGTCCCCTTCTCATTCCAGGACCCTGACTTGCGATTTGCTTGGCTGGGGGTAGATGTCCTTAGGCCGACCACAGTCTGAAAAGCCTGCCCTACAGCCAAGGTTTCCCAGGCTTCCGGCTGTGCCCTCACCCAGGTGGGGCAGGCAGGCGGGCAGGTGGGGAGACAGGACAGAGCAAGTCAGCGCATAGCGGCCAGAGCGTCCCACATTTACCAGGGCTACACCTTATACACCCCAAATGCATTTCATTTGGGGGGGGGGGAAATCCCTGGTTACAAAATGTTTGAAAACCTCTGCCTTAAATGTAGAAATTTAAGAGAAATAGACCCGCTTTCTTCATGTTTCCAGGATGCTCAAATTGGACAGGGAAGGAGTTAAGTGATGGCTGAATGTGGGAGGGTCCTCAAGTGTGAAACCTGGGCTGTGACCACAGAAGTGGCTGGAACCTATCAGAACTTCTGGAACCTGACGACATGTCTGTGGGTTTTTACAGATGGGGGAGGATTAGCGGCCCATGTGAGGAGGGTGTCATGGCAGACATTAATAGTCAGTTATACTCTTCCTACTTAGACTCTAAGGCGTGTTATGTTATATGAGAGGAAGTAAAAAAACTGACAGGAGCCATTGAAGCCTTCCTCAGAGCAGTGGTTGTCAAGCTGTCATGCGCATCAGAGCCACCTGAGGCCTGGGCTCCGCCCAGTCAGCTGGGGTCAAGGCTGGATCTGTATTTCTAACAGGCTCCCAGGTCACCCTGAAAGTGTGCTTCTGGGAACCAGGCTTTGAGGAGCATTATCCTAACTAGCAAGAGCTTATATTGTTTAAAACATTGTGAATGTGTGAATTGTATTAGTTTATAAACATTGGAATAAGAACATTGTGTAGGCTACTCCCAGGCTCCAAGCTACCGATGGGTGAAGTAAGCTCAAGTGGTATGTTTGTGTGCCCTGAATGAGGCACCGCCGTTTATGACCTCCTGACAATCAGATGAGACGAAGCTCTTGGACCTAGAAGAAAAATAGGAATAGTGTCTGATGTTTGTCATGCAGTTAATCAACCTCTGAAACAAACAGTGAACCCCTGCTGTGTGCCAGGCACCACTCTAGATGCTGGGATGAGGCAGGAAATAGACACAGAAGAAATGCCTACCCAGCGAATCTCATTCTGCTTGGGAAGAAGGTAATAAAGAAACAACTAACTGGTAACTGTCCCCTGGCGAACAGTTTAGCAGAATAAGGGGAACAGAGAGTGAAGGAGGTGGTAAGAAGGCCTGTCTGATGAAGTGATATTTGAGAAGAGTCCATCCCGGGATCGCAGGCAGAGCTGGGTTCCGCCTGTGGACCCCCAGCAGGACCGTGCTTGGAACACAAAGTGGCAGCGTGGCTGGGGCAGGGGGCATGAAACAGGAGGAGAGCTAGCCAGAGAGGGGTCGGGGTGGGCGCGGCTCGTGGAGGGTCTTGTAGGCACTAGATTTTACCCTGGTGAGAAGGGAGCCACTGGGGGAGTTTCAAGCAATGGAGTGGAACAGTCTGACTCGAGGAGGGTTCACCTCGGCTGCTTGTGAATGAAATGCAGGAGACCGGCATGGAAGCAGCAGAACTGGTTTTGCAAATCATGGAAATACTGTGGCACCCCTAACATCAGGAACTAGTGGTTGTATTACTACTAGTCACCATCTGTGGGTGCTTGCCGTGAACCTGACACTGTACTGAGTGCTGTGTCCATGGGGTGTCTCTTTTCTTGCTTTACAAGCCCCACCAAGTAGACAACATGAATATCCTCCATATAGATGGGGAATGGCATCAGACTGTTTTTGGTTTTTTTTTTTTTAAGTTTTTTATTAGGGAGTTGGGGGAAGGGGAACAGACAAGTTGCTGTCGTTTTTGTTTTTCAGTCTAGTTGTGGAGGACGTTGCTTCACTGGCCCAAATTGGCACCATCATTGCGCTCTTCCTGGGCAAGGCAGATCAGTTGCCAGCTTCTGGACGGCCACTCACTGCGGCTGCTGGCTGCTCACGCTGGCTGCTGGCTACACACAGTAGCCCATGGCAACCCACTGCCACAGGGTCTGCAGCCTATGCTGTCGCCGACGAATCACAGCAGCCCAGCTCCAGGTTGAGCTGCTGTTCAGCATCTTAGCTGTAGAGGGCAGTGTCAATGGCCCTCATATGTGGGATCCGAACCAGGGCCCTCTGGCGTCCCAAGCCAGTTCTTAACCATCGCGCCACTCGGCCAGCCCGGCATCAGACTGTTTGAGGAACTGATTCAGACAAGGCGAGACTGTACCAAGGATTGTCTCACTCCAAAGCTTGTGTTTGAGGTATCCATTTGTCTGCACTCCTCTAAATATAAATGTCAGAGCGATGTATACATTTTTTACATTTCCTCATATTCCTAGATATTTTGGTTTAGTGTGTCAGTGTAGGTTTATTGATTGTACCACTCAATCAATGTACAATCTGTACTGCTCTGGTGTGAGGTGCTGCTAATGGAACAGGCTGTGTGTGTGGTGGGGAAGAGGGTATACTGGGACCCCCGTACTTTTGGCTCAGTTTTCCTGTGAACCTAAAACTGCTCTAAGAAATAAAGGCTATTAAAAAATAAATGAAATTGCTTTTAAGGCTTGAGCTCTGAAATTGCCGTATAGATACATCATGATTCTTAGAGAATATGTTGTCATCAGCAATTTTTTTTTGCCAGTGGTCAAATGTAGTACAAGGCAAAAATTATTCTGGGATTATAAATTAGTTAACACCTGACAAATACAATTTAGTCATGGAGGCTTAGTAATGAAATAAAATGATAAGCTTCATACTTAATTCTCACTTTATCCAAAACCACATCTCAGGTACTTGAAAATATATATTATACGTGCTAATGTCTTTAAGCCAGAGGGTGTGAATTTGGGGGGCATTGGACAGATGTAAGGAGCGCCTCTTGTGCAAGCCTTCCCTTAAACGACAAAATTTTGGCAGTCGTACTAGAGCAACTTAAATTTGCTATCACTCAAATTCTTAAAACCACATTATGATTCTGCCAGGAACACAACTTTTTTCTCCAACAAAGGCATTTTTGCAATAATATGGCCTTTCAATATTAAGTGAAAACATAGACAATGATATTGCACAGCAGTGGGAATTTTGCCAGCCTGACATATTTTGGGTGGTGTTTTTGGGGGGTTGGGGGTGGGGTGGGTGGAAATAGTCCTATTTTCCTT